CAAACCCGGCCCATGCCGTGTGGTATCGCCACGACAAAGCATTGATGTCAATGCTGATTTCGTCACTCTCCGAAGAAGTCATGCACCTCGCTGTTGGATGTCGTACATCAAGGGAGGTTTGGTTGTCCATAGAGCAATCTTTAGCTTCTTCGTCTCGTGCCTGGTCAGCTTCAGTCTCTCAGGCAATGTGACTCCTCTATTGCTGATTATATTGGTCGTGCATGTGTTGTTACGGAAGACTAGCCTTGACCTATCGATCAGTTGGTTTGGACGAGATGAACTTGTATGTGTTTCGTGGGTTATGACCAGAGTATCAAAACCTAACTGCAACGCTTTCAGTTCGCGGGCAGCTCGTCACTCTTACAGAGCTCGCATAGTTTCTCAGAGCTCAGGAATTCATTCGAGGAACCGCCAACGATGGAGCGCCGGCGGCCTTCATTGCCCAGCGTGGCAAGCAGAATCATCTATGAAAATCACAAAGTAACGGTATCCCAAGCGGACGGCCAAATATATATAGAGCTGCGTTCAGATGAGAACGCCTTGCCCTGGAAAGAAATGAGAATGCACGACATCCGTCCATGTGTCAAATCTAATGGATGAGAAACACTGATTTAAAAAAAAAAAAAAAAAAAAAAAACACTGACACTTTCGTAAATAATTGAACATCGAAGTGCAAGAAAAATGTATTACAATTGCAAATAGCAGTTTCATATAGTGCACCTAAGTGCAAGTAAAATGTATTACAAGTGCATGTAAAATGTATTACAAGTGTAAGTAAAATTTACACTGAACATCAATACTAAGTGCAGCTGACGTTATAAGTAGGTGCATCTATAGTTATAAGTAGTTGCACTTAGGTGCACAAATGTTAACAAGGTAAAATTACTTGCACTTATAAGTGAAAATAGGTTCACTTGTAAATGATTTTACTTGCAAAGGTGTACCAGTTACTTGTATTTATAACACATTTACTTGAACCAAAGTTCGAGGTATTTACAAAAATGCTACCGTGTCGTGTTTTTAAAATTACATCTGATTCTTTGATATGGACACGTGGATAACTGTGAGTGGTTCTTATTTCTCTCCTGGGTAATTGTTCTCACCTGAACGCACCCCTATATATTGTTGGTGTTGTTGTGAAAGGAAAATAATATTTATTGATGAAAAGAAATTAATAGTTTAGGTGATATGAAAGTAAAATCTCTTTTAAAAGTGAATTGAAATTACATGAATTTTTTTTTAAAATAGTGAATAAATTATAAATATAATGATATGGCAGTAATTCACACTTTTAAAAATGGAAGATGATTTGTAAGGATATGCTGATAGGTTTGAGAAATGGAGGATGAAGTTGACAAGTTGATCATTGTGTTTTTACAACAAAAAATGCAAAAGCTATTTGCAGAAAATGAGTGATGAAGGTGAAAGATGTACCTCGTGTAAAGAGAGTCAATTGTGAATAAACTAGTTAATTTGAATCAAACGATAGCTGCATGATAAGTCACGAACAATATTAGCTGGCTGGTGAAGAATGTTAGCTGATTGTGTTAATCAGAGGGCATAACTAGTTGATAATATTAGTTGATTGTAAAAAAATGTTTGGTAAATTACTTGTAAGTCAATAACTGTTTGATATAATTTCTTTCTTAAAAAAGTGAATTGAAAAAGTTGTTTTGAACAACTTTTTAAATTTTAGCATTTTAGAGTTACAAAAAACTAAATAACCAAACACATACATTGATTTTTTTTTAACTAAGTCAAATAATTAATAGTGGTCAAATAAGTTAAAATTAACTGATAAGTGAACTATTTTATCAAATAGGGCCATAATGAATTGTAGTGTGATTTTCTTGTTGTTTTTCCTTATGTACCAAAAAAAAGTCTTGTATATTATTACTATTGACCCGTGTTCATCATGTGCATGATGGACGCGTTGTACATTCATAATTTCTATACTGCACATTCATAATTTTTATACTGTAGATTTATAATTTCTAAATTGTAGATTCAGAAAATTTATAATGTAGATTCATAATTTCTATATACTGTACATTCATAATTTCTGTACTGTAGATTCATAATTTCTGTAATGTAGATTCATAATTTCTAAACTGTATAGTTATCAAATTATGAACACATAGTTATCAAATTATGAATCTACAATACAGAAATTATGAATGTGCAGTATAGAAATTATGAATATACATTATAAATTTTATGAATCTACAGTATAGAAATTATGAATCTACAGTACAGAAATTTTGAATGTGCAGTATAGAAATTATGAATCTACAGTACAGAAATTATGAATCTACATTATAAATTTTATAAATTTACAGTATAAAAATTATGAATCTACAATATAGAAATTATGAATCTACAATATAAAAATTATGAATGTACAGTGTGTCACATAATGGACACGGGTACATGGCATAACCATCCTTATATCAATTTTACATTTTCATTTTCATTTTGTACCAAATATCCACTACATTGTAGATGCCTAAAGGCATATAACATGGCCCATAACTTTATTCCATGAGAATAAAGCAATAGAGAAGCCTAAATGTTGTATTAGCAATTTGAATAATATATTATTTACTTCTCAATTGACAAAAATTTCAAGCAAAAGAAAAAGAACACGATAAAGAATTGCACAGTTTGGTAAATGGCTATTAATTGTTAGCTGATTGAGTTAATTAGAAGGTAAGTAGTTGATAACATTAGTTGATTATAGAGAGTTGTTTGGTAAATTAGATGTTAGTTGATAGCTGTTTGGTTTAATTTTGTTTCTCAAAAAATTAATTGAAAAAGTTACTTTGGACAGTTTTTAAAATTTTAGTATTTTGGAATTACAAAAAATTAATTAACCAAACACTTATATTGATTTTTTTAACAAAATTAAAAAGCTAATAGTGCTTAAATAAGTCAAAATTAACTTATAAGTTAACTATTTTACCAAATCGGGTCATAGTTAATGCGAATCAACTATTCAGTAAATAAAGAGTTATGCACTATCATTTTACTCTCTAATATATCACTTGATTAGAGTTTTATTGTTTTCATTTTACTTAATCACCAGTACTTGATGAGTATTTTGTTGAAAATTTTAACTAAAAATGACATTATTTTCATTTTACTAAATCACCTATTTTGTTGAAATGAGTTACCAATAAAGAAATGAGTTAATTACCAAAATGGTTCCTTGACTATAGCGAAATTATCAATTTGGTGTTCGACTATTTTTTTGACCAATTAAGTCCCTCAATTTTAAAAATCTTAACCAATTTGGTCCTACTTTAGTTTTATCGTTAGACTTCCGTTAACTCGGGCCCAAATTGGTAATTTTGCTATAGTCAAGGGACCATTTCAGTAATTAACTTTAGGTGTGGCAATTTGGTTCAATTTATCGGAACCGAACCATACCGAACCGAATAATAATAGATTCTTGTATACCGAATAATTTGGTAAAAAACTAAACCGAACCGAATTATTCGATAAAAAACTGAATCGAACAGAATAACGTTTGAATTTTTTAATAATAATAATAATAATAATAATAATAATAATAATAATAATAATAATGAAGTAAATCCAAGTCCTTACTGTTAGTTCTGCCGTTCAACTCATATTATCATTGGTATCTCTCATAAATATTTTTTTAACAAAATAGTAAACATTAGTTGGTTTTGTTATGTATTAGACTTTGAATTTATACAAGAGATACCAGTGAGAATATGAGTTGAACGGTAAATGAGGCATCTAGGGATTTGGATTTACTTCTTTTTTATTATTATTATTATTATTATTATTATTATTATTATTATTATTATTATTATTATTATTATTATTATTATTATTATTATTATTATTATTGTTATTGTTATTGTTATTATTATAGAAATTGCGTTTTTGGTCATTTAGTTATACCCTGGTACAGACTTAGTCCATAAGTTATATTCGTGACCATTTTAACTCCTAAGTTATGCATTGAGTTGCAATTTTAGTCGTTGAAAGATCAAATTAGCCACTTTATTAAGTAACAAATTGGTGGTGAAATTAGTCCCCGAAAGATTAAAATCGCTACTTCATCCATAACTTAAAAATGATCACACATATAACTTAAGGACTAAGGCCTTGTTTGGTAAAATGGCTGTTAGCTGTTAGCCGATTGTGTTAATTAGAGGGTATAAATAGTTGATAACATTAGCTGATTCTAGAAAAGTGTTTCGTAAATTAGCTCTTAGCTGATAGCTGTTTGGTATAATTTCCTTTTCTCAAAAAGTTAATTGAAAAAGTTGTTTGGAGTAGCTTTTTGAATTTTAGCCTTTTAGAGGTGCAAAAAAACTAATTAACCAAACATTTATATTTGATATTTTAACTAAATCAAACAATTAATAGTGGTCAAATAAACCAAAATTGACCTATAGGCCAATTTTTTACCAAACAGTTTGTATAATGAGTATAAGCGATGAACAAAAAATGTAATTTTTATTATTATTATTATTATTATTATTATTATTATTATTATTATTATTATTATTATTATTATTATTATTATTATTATTATTATATTATTATTATTATTATTATTATTATTATTATTATTATTATTATTATTATTATTATTATTGTTGTTGTTGTTGTTGTTGTTGTTGTTGTTGTTGCCGCCAAAACTGTGGGCACAATTTCTTTCCAAGATCTTTACGGAAGAGTAACAACACTATTCGACATTACATGTACCCGATCTCTATATAATTTCTTTAATCTTTTTTTTTTTAAAGGAGCCTGTTCGGCATTTATTCAAAATATGCTGAAATAGCGTGGGGCGGTTCATAATCCGCATATATACTAGTCTGCTGAGTAATTGTAGTAGACGCTAAAGTATGAGCTAAATAATTGTCTGATCTAGGAACATAATGAATCAAGCAATAATCAAAAGATAATAATTTAGTTCTGCAACTATCAATTGCATAGCCCAAGTAATCCCGGGACGATCATGTTGTAGACGAGAGATATTGTTGGAGCACCAAACAATCTGTGTAGAGGTCGATTGATCGTACTCCTTGATTTCTTAACCATGATAAAACTTCCTTGCATGCAACTGCCTCCGCCATTAAGGGTGAGAAACAGTCTATGATAGGCGTAGTCATAGCCGATACATATCCTCCCTGTGAATCCAGAATAATAGCCCCCATCGTTGCTTTGTTTGTTTGCGGGTCGTAAGCCGCATCGAAGTAACATTGATCCCTCGCGTCCTGCATAGCATGGTGCATTATCATTGGCGCAGGTGGTTGCGGTTGTGGCAGCATGGATGCAGCTTGTCCCCCCGGCGTGCGTATCATTGCTGCAGTTCGGTTGTGCACAGGTGGCGCGCCACGGCTTGGTGACACCGTGGAATTGGCTTGCGGCATGTGCCGGATGGGATGCACACTCTTCCAAGCATTCAAGGATGATGTGGCCATTGCTACTACCTTGCAGGGTCTGGGTAAATTCGCTTCCCAAACAGCTCCATTTCTTGTTCGCCATATGTAATATAAGAGGACCACTGCATAAATAATCCCATCATCATCTAAAATATTCATCAAATCATTAAACCATTCACTGAAAATATTTGTGACACTATTGGGGATTGGAAGGTTTGATTGTGCCCAAATGTTCGCCGTATAACCACATGTGATTAAAGAATGCACAAGATTCTCATGCTCAACTCCACACATTGCACAAGTTGGATCAATATCTACCCTCCTTATAAGTAAGTTCTCAGTAGTGGGTAATATATCATTTAGAGCTCTCCATAAGAACGTCTTCCACTTTGGGGGGACTTTTAGGCTCCATAATTTTTTCCACTTATCAAACGTTCCAGCCGTCTGGGAGTAGTCGCCTATTACTGCTTTGTACCCTTCCTTAACAGAATACTCCCCTCTTGGGTCTCCATACCAGTACCACATATCTTCATAATCAGGAGACACAGGTATTTTTAAAATCTGTTCCACATCCTGGGGCACAAAAATGTCTGTTAAAATTTCTGGATCCCAGGTTCCAGTCTGTTGATCCATCAAACCCACCACTTTTGCCTGTGCCAATTGTGGCGGTTTTTCTGTTATAATTCCTGGCTGATTTTCATCATGCAACCACGGGTGATCCCAAATCAATGTTGATTTGCCATTTCCAATCCTACGCCTGACTCCCCCACAAATTAAATCTTTAGCTGCCATAATACTACCGCCAGCAGAAACTCGGGTTATTCCCCAAGCATGCCTCATAAAAAGTATTAGTTGGGTAGTAGCGGGCTTTATACACTCTTGAAACCAGAGACTGTGGTTGTGTCAGGAAACGCCACGCCTGCTTTCCTAGCATTGCCAGATTAAAGGCCCTCAACTCTTTAAAACCCAGACCTCCAAATTTCTTTGGAATACACAGTTTATCCCAGGCCTTCCAATGGATACCTTGATCATTCCCGAATCTCCACCAGAATCGATTCATTGTTCTTTCAATGGCCGAACATAAATTCATAGGCAGTAAAAATACACTCATTGAGAAAGTGGGCATAGATTGAGCCACACTTTTCAATAGAACTTCCTTCCCTGCCTGTGATAAAAGCTTCTTATTCCATGAGCCAATCCTCTGTCTTATTTTATCTTCTATATAGGAAAACGCCTCTCTTCTGTTCCTGCCCACAAATGATGGAAGCCCCAAATACTTTCCAAAATTCTGAGCCTGCACAACCCCCAATATATTAGCAACATCTTCTTTGACTTCATCCCGTGTATTCTTACTGAAACATATATTCGATTTGTGATAATTAACCACTTGACCAGACATGTTTTCATAGGTTGCTAAACAACGTTTAATCACTCCTGCTTCCTGGCTATTAGCTTTGAAAAACAGGAGACTATCATCAGCGAAGAACAAATGAGTAATGGGGGGTGCCCCTCTAGCAACTCTACATCCATGTATCTCTCCCTTGACTTCTGCCTGGTTTAACAATACCGAAAGGCCCTCAGCACAAATAATGAATAAATAAGGTGATAGAGGATCCCCTGCCGCAAACCCCGAGTTGGGGTTATACGTTCACTATTTGAGCCATTCATCAGTACACTATACGACACAGTGGTCACACACATCATTAATAAATTCACCCATCTGTCATCAAACCCTACCGCTTTCAGCATTTTCTGCAAAAATGACCATTCCATACGATCATATGCTTTTGCCATATCCAGCTTCAAAGCCCCCCAGCCAGCGATTCCACATTGCTTTCTGTTTAAATAATGGCCCACTTCCGAGGCTATCAAAATATTATCTGTAATAAGTCTTTCAGATATAAACGCACTCTGGGATTCAGATACAACATTCTCCATCAGGGGCTTCATTCTAGCTGTAACCACTTTTGCCATAACTCTGTAAACCACATTACTCAAAGCTATTGGCCTATAATCAGAAACCAATTCCGGGGTTTTCTTCTTCGGGATCAAAATAATATTCGTCTCATTTAATCCATCCGCTATTGAACAATTATTCAGGCAATTCACAATAAACGTAGAGACATCAGAACCTACCACATCCCAAAAATGTTGGTAGAAACCGGGATTCATCCCATCCGGTCCTGGTGCCTTATCCGGATACATTGAAAACAAGGCTGCTTTTATTTCATTTTCCTCAAAAGGCCGAACAAGCCTCTCATTCTGCGTGGCAGTCACACGGGGTTGTATACTTTCAAAGAAATCCTCATTAACAGTAGGTGAACTTGAACTAAAAATACCACGATAATAGTTCAAAATAACCTCTTTCATAGCCTCTCCCTCTATCCAATCCCCATTATCATTCATAACTTTAGCAATGGTATTCTTTTTCTTTCGGTGAGAAGCATACCTGTGATAAAATTTGGTGTTTGCGTCCGCATCCTTGAGCCAATGCTGTTTGGCCCTCTGCCTCCAGTAAGCCTCCTCCTGTAGCTCAATACGAGTAAGGCACTCATCCAACCTTCGAAATTCAGCTAGGGACACCGGGTCTGTACACCCCCTAAGCCGCATCTGCTCCTTGCGTAAGGCAACTATCTTCTCACCAAACTTATGAAAACGGTCGCCACCCCATCGAGTCAACCGGTTTCCACAAATTGCAGTACACGCTTGCAGCCCCTTATCTCTCCCTTCTCCCCATGATCTCTCCACCACCTCCCTACATCCTTCATCATGCAGCCAAGCCATCTCAAAACGAAAACCCCTACGCAGATCACCCCCCTCCCCCGAAGATTCAGAATCCCAAGGAAAAGGAAGGAATGATCCGATTTTCGGGTCAATATGTTCTGCACATTCGCATCGGGCACCAACTCCCTCCAAGGCTGCGTGGCTAACACCTTATCCAAGCGTTCCTCTATCCAATTCAGAGTGCCCTTCCCCTTTTCCCAAGTGAAGGGATATCCAGACATAGGCAACTGTGTCAATCCGCATTCATCAATCGTCTCTCCAAAACCCCGTAGCAAATTTTCTGGATGAGGGTTTCCCCCTCGTTTCTCATACTGGAATAATAGATCATTGAAATCTCCAATAATAACCCACGGCAGATCCGATTTAGTTGGTAATGAACGGATAAGATCCCATGACTCCCTCCTTTGTGGTCGTTTCGAGAAGCCATAGAAACCAGTCATCCTCCACTTATCAAAACCAGGAACACTCACCTCAATATCAATGTAATTACTCGAATAGCCAATCAGTGTTGCATAACTATTTGTCCTCCATAACATTGCTAACCCCCCACTCAATCCTGAATTATCAACATTAAATAAGCCTTCGAACCCAAGCTTTACCCGAAGACGCTCTGCATGATCTCGGTTAACCTTGGTTTCCATCAGAAATACAAAATCGGGTTTCTTACGGGACACTACGTCCTCAATTTCCCGAACTGTCCGTAGATTACCCAAGCCACGGCAGTTCCAGCTCAATGTACTCATTGGGATGGGCGGGTCTGCACCGCAGCACCCGCCAATTGCAAGTTTTTTTGAACTTCCGTCATTGTCACATCCTCCCCCACCATCCCTCCCCCATCAACCCGCCCTACCCTACCATTCCCCCCTTCTGGTATAACCGAATACATGTTATTCGGCTCCACTCCCACACTCACCTCCCCCTCACCCTCAACCCCACCACCCGTTCTTCTCCGTTTCGGATCCATTCTTACTCCCTCTTCCTCCCTTACCGCCTCGGTTTCCCTTCCCGTACCCAACTGCCCACCTCCTCCCTCACCCGCCATCCGTCCCCCTATTCCTGCCATATTTGGCCGTTCCCCCATCGCACCCCACTGTCCACAACCACTCATACCGAAACCAATCTCCTTCCTCCTCTCTTGCCCTAATTTGAACCATTTGTCCCCCATCATTCTAAACGAATTATTCCCCCCTGCCCTCATTGCCGCACCATAGATGTACTGTTCCGGGGGTATTAGAGACCGTCTAGCCGCTAAGCAGAATTTATCTGTATATCCCATTATACCACAAAAGAAACAAAACATATGTAAGCGTTCATACTTGAAATTTATCCATGTCCACGTTCCATCACGCATTATCATCTTCATTCGACGTTTCAAAGGCACCGTGACATCATGCGTAATACGGACCCGGTAGTACGATGTCCATGTCCTTTTGAAGTTCCGTTCATCATACCGCAAAAATACTCCCGCGAAATCTCCAATTCTCTCAAGCACCTTCGCCGTTCGATATCCTAGTGGGATATCATAAACCTGCACCCAGAAGTCGACCGTGTTCAACACCACTTGAGTCGGATCCGCCCCATCATCCAAAATTTGACACAAGAATGTCGTATTCTCAAACGCCCATGGCCCTTCCTCTAACACCCGGCGCATGTCAGCTTCATCAAAAAACGTAAAGAGATACAGATTTGGGAGTACATCTGTTATCTCTATTCCCATGAGAGGGCGCCAAGCCGAGGCCATCACCCTCTTCATTATCTCAACCTTCATAATTCGATCAGTAAGAAACTTGCCCACTAATGTCCACGTATTCCGCCCTGGAGGATTCGCTGGAATCACGTATTCCTCATCCTCGAAGCGCACCCCGTCCTCTTCGTCGTTCAACCTGATGTCCGCAGCCGACGCAGTGATGTCGCGCACGTCCATCGTCGTTGCCGGCAGCCGGTCGGAAGCAGCAAGGAGTTTCGAAACCCTAGAAACCAGGGAGGCCAGTGTCGTAACCCTAGAGCAGCAGAGCAGCAGGGAGGTATTACCATTCCATATTAATCTAAACACAATTATCACAAAATAGTTATTATTTACCATTCCATATTAAGTATGATTTTGATTTTTATTAATCTAAAATTTATTTTGTTAATTGAGCAGAAAAAAAAAAAAAAAAACAAATTTTCTTACTTAATGGGGTAATGCTTACCAAATCAGCGCCCGTTTCTCCACATCCATCCACGTGGCGTACCTTTCGACATCATCAGTCAGGAGCGGTTACCGTAAAAAGGCCGTTATTTTGCATTGACGCCTTTTCTCTCTACTCTTTCGCTAAACCATGGTTACTTTAACCCTAACTAGAGTTTCTAGTTGTTTACCGCCATACCCCTACACTTGGTGTATTTACCATCCACCCATCGTCTTCCCCTTGCTATAAATGCAGGCTTAAAGACTCGCTAGGTTTGCCAAATTGAAGAGCCTCAGGGCCCTTTAGAAAAAATAGTTTTTTTTTTTTTCTTTTCAGATTTGTTTCTATTCTTCTCTTTCTCTCTCTACTGTGTGTATTCTCTCTTCAAAAATGGCCACCTCTTCTAGAAAATCTAATGGTTACGCTCTAAGGTCGAGCTTTCAACGCTCGCTCTCGCCGTCGGGCCGCTTCTGTGCTCCGTCAACCGAGAAAGATGTTTCCTCGTTCGCTTCGTATACCAGCTCGAGCTTTTGCTCGTCGCCGTCTACTGGCTTCTTCAACCGATCGGCGTCCCCGACGCGTGTGAAGCTTCACGGCTTCGCATCGTCAACACCGACGCCGTCCGTACGGTTCTCCATCGACCGATCTATCTCCCCGCATCGCTCGGTGTCGGTTTCTCGCCGAGATCAGGTGGTGCGCAAGCAGGGCGTTGGGAATCCGTTGGCGAATCTCCCGAAGAAGACGTGCCTCTGCTCTCCGACGTCGCATCCAGGTTCGTTTCGATGTAGTTTGCACAAGAACATGAACAGTAGGCCGTCGATTTCGTATCCATCTAACCGGCTGAACGCTCGGAGATCAGCGATGACGAACTCGCTGGTGCGGATCGGGACTGTCGAAGGCGATTTGGTGAAGCGTGCGTTGGCGGCCTTGATTCGTCCTTCATCTCATCAGCAACGACGCCGCGGCGATTTCCAGCCTAGGCCTAGCCGGCTCTCGAGGATGTCGAAAGCCGAGGAGGACCTGTGAGTCCTGCTATTATAGGTTTGTATTGATTATAGTGTTTGGATTCCAGCTTTTCTCTAGAGGTATTACGGCGGTGGCGTCAGATTCCGGCTGCGGTTTTTAGTACTCCGGTGAATCAAAAGCCCTAGCTACACAGACAATTTTGGTTTTTTACAGGGAATATCCCCCTTGTACATATGAATTGCAGCAAAACTGATAGCAACCGAAGGACATGTTGGACTATCTAACATCCATTTAAATAGTAAAATGAATTCCCCGATTGATTTCAATTTAAAATTGTAAAACTCGGAATTGAAATTCATTGAGAAATGCGTGAAGGATTGATTTGTGGATTGAACGGAGTCTCGTTGCGTTTCGTGTGTGTTGGCGTTCGTTTCGCCGTTATACGTCGCCGTTTTACATCCGGTTCTCCGTTTATCGGCGTATACGTTCACCGTCGTTGCGTTTGCCTTTCGTGTTTAAGGTATTTTTGGTATTTTCATTTATTCTGTATATATTATTATTATTATTATTATAGTATTTCTTTTTTATGTGTTTATTATTTTCGTTTTTATTTATGAATTATAACTAATTTGTTTTTTTTTTTTTTTTCGTGGTGTTGCAGGAATGGCGTCATGAAGTTGAATTTATTCGCAGAGTTAAGACATTTATGACGTGAAAAGAATATCTTTGGACTAGTCATTGCGGTCTGTGGAACAGAGCTCGAAACGATACCTTAGCTGTAAAACTGGAAAAATCTGACACTTTGAAGGACTGAATTAACGTCAGGGTAAAAGTAAAAACTGTATTGTTGATTGAGACAAATTAGTCCCTATTTGCCATAATGACGACATACCGTATGAGCAGGGTTGAACCGAATTTGGCACTTTCCAGAAAAATAAAATTTAAAATGACATGAAGCTGTTGGTGAGCCAGGCTGGCCAACAGTAGATGTGGCTCGGATAGTCGGATTCAATGGACAATATCACAGGATTGATTGGGGGCCCCTTATCGTGAGCTTTCCTTGAATAAATGGAAAATCACCGAAAGCACCGGAACATGAATCCGAACGTATAAGCTGTGTCGCACATTTTGGATGATGTGATTATCTGTTTGGTTCTTGAAAGGACCTGGCAATGGCAAATGGCAATGAAGATGATAGATTCGGTGTTACAGCATCATTTATATACGGATTATGCTACATTACCACACAAGGTGGAGCCTTAACTTTTTTTCAGCAGAGGCAAATATTAAATCAAAAAAGATATAATTTTAAAAAATTAATAAAACACATAAGAAGTATATCATTAAATATTGTTGGATATAGATGAAAATAAAATACACTAAAATTTTATAAAATTAATCATAACAAAATACTCCATATGAAACATTATTACTTTGATAAAATGATTTGAATATAAAACACATTATAAATCAAACATCTCATTATTAATATATTAAAAATGATAATTGTTGGATATGGTAAAAAATATATTTAAAAAATAATCATTATTGAATATGGGTAGAAAAATAAAATACATACTAAATAGGGTTAATTTTGGCAAAGATCTCTTGTCTTTGGTAGTAATTTCAAATTTAGTCCTAAACTATCAATTTTGTCATTTAACATCATAGACAATTACTTTTGAACACTTTTAGTTCTTATGATTTTTTCTATTTTTCTATATTTAGTAAGGACATTTTAGTCTCTTCATATTTTTCTTTTGTTATTTTTTTTTGTTCAAACCCGGTTTAATTGGTTTAGAATTTAGTTAATCTCTGATTTTTAGTAACTATATTTTTAATTGGTTTTTAGTAAAGTCCTAAAATAACAAAATCGGTCGAAATTGAAAAAATAACAAATGAAAAGTATGAAGAGACTAAAATGTCCTTACTAAAAGTAGAAAAAATCATAAGGACTAAAAGTGTCCAAAAAGTAATAGTCTTAAATGGCAAAAACGAAAATTTCGAATTGCCATCAAAGACAAGGAACCTCCGGTGGAATTATTATAAGTAAAATTAGCAAACACCGCACTAAATCATGTTAAAGGTGGATAGCATAGAAGTCTTTCGACAGGGTATGAAATGGGCCATCTTAGAGAATCGATCAACTATGACAAACACGGAATCCGCGCCTCGTTGTGTTTTGGGCAACCCGAGAATGAAATCGATTGATAAATCTTCCCATATGTCTTCAGGAGTTGGCATTGGCGTGTATAATCCTATGTTTTGTGTATGACCTTTGGATGCTTGACAGACATAACATCCCTTAACAAATGTACCCATGTCCCTTTTAAGTTGTGGCCAGTAGAACTGCTCTTCAATAGAAGCTATGGTCTTGTCTCTTCCAACATGTCCCCCTAGTCCTCCAACTTGTAAATCTCGAATAAGTTTTCACATAAAGATGTTCTTGGTATTCAAAGCAAGTTTCCTTTGAAAAGATAACCATCGGAAATATAGAAATCTTGAGATGGTTCATGCAATTGAAGTCTTTTCCATATAATAACATTGAAATCCTCGTCATCTTCATATTGCTCCTTTAACACTTCAAATCCAATTACTTCTCCTTG